CGCTTTGTGTATCTATTAGTTTGAGGATGGAAAAGTAAAGATAGTTTTATGTCTATTTTTAAAATCTTAAAAAAAAAAATTTAAAATCTTAATACAAATTGAGTTCTCCTATCCAATATAATATCTTTAGATAATCCATGATAGTAATAGATGTTGTTAACAAAAAAATTGGTTGTTTCTTTACTTATGTTAGCTTTTGTATATAGTAAAAAATATTCCATCTTGTTGATATAATCTATTATTACAAATATAAAGTCATAAGATCTTGAGATTGAAAGATCTATGATAAAATCTATAGAAATAGAAGACCATGGTTATTCTGAAATGGATAATAGTTGGAATAGTCCATAAGGTCAATAATGAGGAGTTTTTTTTTACCTTATACAAATATCATATGATTGAATAAAGTCTTTACTGCCTTCCATATTTGTGGCTACCAAAAATTTTAAGATATAAGTTCTAAAGTCTTGTTGTATCCAAAATATTTGACTGCTAAAAAATCATGATGTGCTTGAAGAATACATAAACATGCTTTTCTTTCAAGAATGTATAGGCACCTTTCAAAATATAGCAGGTTGTTTTTGAACTTAAACTTGGAAGCATCATAAGACTTAAAAGAAGGGCTCTTGATATCATGAATAAGAGAATCAAAGGACATACTTGATTGAATTTGTTTAAAAAGAATTGAGTCAATAGTCAATATTGATTTTATTGCTCAAAGATAAAAATACTCTGACTTTAATAAAATCATTCTTTGTTAATCAAAAGATGTATTTTTTTTCTTTTGGTGTAAGATAAGAACATCTAAAAAAGTTGTTTGATAAATCTTATTATTTTTTGGATTAATAAGTGATTTTCAAATTAAAACCTAACAAAGATATGCTTCAACAAGCTTGGCAATGATTCAAAACACATGTTGACATAAAGTATTTAAGATTCTTATATTTGATATAAATAACGATTGGATTACAAGCACCTTGTAGATAATAGTGCCACTCATGAAATGAATCCACAATTGCAAGAAGTCCTTTGTCGTGAAACTCAAAGTTGATCTCGGCTATTGAAAATTTTCTTGAATAGAAAGCTATTGAGAGAAGTTTATCATCTATTTCTATTTGTAATATGGCATCTAAAGAAAAATTTGATATATTTGTTCCTATAAAAAATTTCTTAAAAAAGTCATCTTGATACAAAATTGATACAAAAGTAAAATTTGTCTTTAAAGCTTCAAATGCTACTTCCAGTTCTTGATTCTATTGAAGTTTGTCTTTACAAGTTAAACATATAAGTAGAGCTACAACTTTAAAAAAGTTCTTGTTGAAAATTTGATAGTAATTGGTAAATCATAAAAAAAAATTAGACATCTCTTATTATTTTTGAAATCTTCCAACCCGTAATAGTTTGAACTTTCTTAAAATTCATCATAAGTCCTTCATTTGAAATGATGTATTTGAAGAAATTGACTTGAATAGTATAGAATATATACTTTTGTATCTTTGTATAGAGTCTCACATCTTTTAGTTTTTATAATACACAACAAATATGAGTTCATATTCTTTTATATTTTTAGAATAGATTAAGTTGTTATTTAAGTAACAGACAATAAAATCATTTAAAAACTCTCAAAAAACATCATTCATTAAATGTTAAAAAGTTGGTGGTGCAAGTGTAAGTCCAAAAGGTATGACATTGTATTCAAAATGTCCATACCTTGTTCAAAATATAGTCTTCTATTCATCTCCTTCTTTGATGCATACTAGATTGTATGTTCTTTATACATCTATTTTTGTATAGATCCTAACTTCATTCAATTGATCAAGAAGTCCAGATATTAATGGTAGCAGATACCTATTCTTGATGGTAATTTTGTTGAATCTTTAATAATTAATATAAATCTGCAATGATCTATCATTTTTCTTCACAAATAAAATCAAAGGTCTTGCTAGAAATTTGGAATGGCATATGAAGTTTTTGGCTAGATTTCCTTCAATATACTCCTAGAATTTAACCAACTTATTTTGTAATAAACTATAAATTGGTCTAAATGGTAGTTGAGATCTTTCTTGAAGATCAATTGAGTAGTCATAAGAACAATGTTCTGATAGAGTATCCACATTCTTTTTCTCAAATACATCTTCTTTTTAAAAATCAAGACTATAAAAAATCTAATCTATTTTTGGATTATTTTTTTTAGCCATCATAAATCAAAAATGATTAGATTAGATAAAGATCTAATAATATTAATTATTAAAAAACTAATATAACTATAAGATGTTACTTCTATAAGAATAATTTCATGAGTAACATTTCTTGAAGATAATAGATGACCATCTATGTCTTCTATGTGAATATGTTTAGTTTTCTTCAATAAAAGTATGCTATATCTTTTAGCAAATTCTCCATCTAAGAAACATGGTGAGATTTTTGAATATTATAAAGTAGAGGCTTTGTGATATTTAGGTCCTAAAATAATATTTATTGTAAAATAAAAAGAAGGTTTTGAGGAAAAAATACAATCTTCACAAAGTATTGTACAAAGTTTTAGTCACACTATCCATATTGTAGTTGGATAAACTTATTTTTTGACATACTATATTTTTTGATGGCAGTACTTCTTATTTTTTCATTACATTGTTTCTTCAAAAATTATTAAGCAATGTACTTAGGTTCTCTATAATATAAGCACAATTCTTCTTGACAATAATAAGTTTTTTTTGCTCGATAAAAGGTTTGAAACGTACCGCATTAATTTGCATATCCTCTACTTTTGAATATGTATATTGAAAAGACATTAGCATTATCATTGATTCATAGTAACGTTGAGATGCACTTGTGCAACTCTTAGATTAAAATTCAAAAAGTTGATTATCACACCTCAGAGCAAAGTCAATTCTTTGACTCAATATTTGAAGATCAAGTAAGTTGAGCATCAATTTTTTTTATCTTATATTATAATCCATACAAAAATTGGCTAATAAGTACAACATCATTTTATTTGATATCAGTTGCAAGTTATTAAAATTATAAAATATATAATGTTACCAATCAATTTTTTTGTCATAAAATATGGATCTTATTGATTGCAACACGAATTGCATCATGTTTTTCATACATGAATCAAAACTCTACTTAAAAAACCTTTAGATTATCTAATATTAGATCTTATCATTTAAGAAAAGTTAAAAACCATGATAATAGTGAATCTCAAAGGAGTGTACTAATGAATTTAACTTGTGATCTTGGAGTTGGATAGCTTTGGGGTTGAAGTTCAATCACATATTATATTTGATTGATAAATCCTTAAAACTTAGTTCTTGTGTCATCTAACTTCTTGAGCAATATAATTCTTAGTTTCCTAATATTGAAAGGATGTTCTATCATAAGAGAAGAGAATTGATTTGATGCAAATATTGAAGCAGCTCCAATCATTTCTATATCTTTGCTCCCTACCATTTTTGTTGCTCTCTGTGGTAATAAATTGAGTTGATGCATGGCAAGCATTAACTCTTTCAATTGTTCTTGCATTTGTGCCATTACATTCTTAGAAAAAATACTAAGAAAAATATCAATTTATAAGAAGATAACCTACAACCTCTAATCTGTTTAAGTCTTATCATAAGAAAGGAGCAATCTACTCTTAATCAAAAAAAGACAAAACTCTTATATTGTAAGTGTATTCTTGTCAATTTGTCTTGAAAAAGAACTCAATAAAAGCAAATAAATACGTGAGATTTTTTCAAAGCAATATGACAAAATATAAATAGAGAAGTTTGAATATTAAAAAATAAATTGGAATGGCTATTGCCAAAAGACAAGGATATTAAAGACTCTTGAAACTAAACTAGAAGCAAAAAAAGTATTAATAAGAATCAAGAAGGCTTCACTCTTGCTTCTATATATACTATCTACCTAAGATTTATGTGGCGACGTTCTATAAGACCTCAAAAAATATATTGACTTTGTACAATACATATCTTAATTTGCAAGAGAAGTTTTTCATATGGCTGCCACATAGTTTTCTTCTTCCACAAGCTACCAATACATGTGATACATGGTTAGCTTATTGACCAAGTTTCTAACCTACCAATCAATTACAAATACATGTAAAGTCAAAACAACATCTAGAAAGCTTTTAGAAAGCTTTTCTATATGGTATTATGAAATTAATCTATTTTTGCCTACTTCTATCCATTCATATCACTTAGGTAATAATTATAATAGATATTTATCCGTGACACATATGAAACATATTGACATTATATATTTATTATGATACATCAAAAAATAATAAGTATCATCGACATACATATTTATTATGATACATCTAAAAATAATAAGTATTATGGACATACATATTTATTATGGTATTTATCTATATGATTAAATAGAAGTATATAAAAATAAATTTATTTTTTAGTAAAGCTTCTTAAAATCTTCATAGATATTAACTTTACATGTATTTGTTGTTGATTGATAAGATAGAAACTTGGTCAATAACTTAACCACATATTGGTAGCTTATGAAACAAGTTAACTTTGTGGCATACATATAAAAAACTTGTTTTATAAGTTAAGATACATGTCTTGCAAAGTCAACACATTTTAAAAGTTCTATAGGATATCACTACAAAGCTCCTAGTTAAGAGTATATATAGAGGCAAAAGTGAAGCTTTCTTCACTCTTATCAACACCTTTTTACTCTTTAATCTTGTTTCAAGATTTTTTAGTCTTTTTATTTTTGCTAATAGCCATTTAATTTAGTACTATATCATCTTTGAGTGACTTTCTAGTTCTATTGAAAGACACAAGAGTGTATTGAGGATTTCTTTTTTAAAGATTTATGTCCTTAACAGCAAGTTAACATCTCAAAATGTAGAAGTCATAAATATCTTAGTTTTGTTAAGATCCTATGAACTCCAAATAATGTGAAGTCTTTTGATGAAAACGAAGAGGAGAGCATGTGGTGAAGGAGAGCCACCACTTGTCTTTTTGAACAATCTTAATGTATGTATATGTATATAGGCAAATAAAATAAAATAAAATAAATAGTGTATAACACATGAATATATACACACATACATCTGCATACATACATTTATACATGTAATAATGTCCATCTCTAATTCGATTTTCGAAGTATCCTTAGAAGTGGGGGATGGAGGTTAATAGAGAGGGTTTTTAGGGTAGAGTCGGAGGTGGCGAGGAAGCGAGTCTCGCTCGCTCGCATTGCGAAGTGCACAAACTCAAACTCTCTCTCTCGTCGCAATCCTCTCGGATTCGCACCGCGCACCGTCTCCGTCTCGGTCCATTCTCCTGCCCAGACGTCGCCGGAATGCTTCCTCCTCCTTCTCCTCCTCCCTCACTCCGCTCGCCACCAATTCGGGCTGCATTGTCTCACTCGGGTGGCCCTCTGCCCGATTCTCCGCCTCCCACCTTGTGGCCTTGAGTGCGATCCTACTTTGTTTGCTCTTCAATCTTCCGTTTAATCTCGTCTTGTGGGTTCGCCTGTCGGTCCCAGTTTTGCTGCCCTTGTTGTCCCATGAGCTCTGCACGATTTTGGAACCCTTCGTAAGGAAACGGTCACCAGTTCAGTGCAGTGACATCGGGCTAAACGTGCTGCGAATAGAAACAGTTGGGTGGCTCTGGAGATTAGGGTTGCGAGATTAGGGGTGCGAGGTTCAGTTTCAACGTGCTCATGAGCACAACATTCTGGCCTCGTCGAAGCGGTAGCGAATCTGGTTTTGGTCGTGGAGAGACGTAATTGGGGTTGCGAAGCTGGAGAGGTAGGAGCTGAGCAGTGGACATGGCTAGCGAAGCCGCCGATCCCAGCTCGTCAGGGGCGGGGGCACCCGAGGAGATCAAGATTTCACGCTCCATCCGTAGTTGTAGAGGATGTTTGTTGTATTCGAGTATAATGCGTGAACGTGGACGTAATCCCGTGTGTCTGGGTCTCAGCCGGAGCACTGATGCGCAAGCGTACATCCCCGATGGTAAAATGGACAACGAAGTCGCTAGGAATTTTCGAAACTTCACAGATTTCAAGTATGCCTGCATAGGGTACAGTACCCACAAGGAGGTTAATTCTAATCAATTGACCCAGCCGACGGACTCCACAAACGAGCTTCCCTACTGCTTTGGCCTGGAGTTTCTTGCTGATAGAAAGCCAACCACGCAGGCTGTTCCTTCTACCGAGACAGCTCCTTACACCAATTCACCTCCGCCTCCTAAGCCTCTGGTACGTGGACCTTGCATCGGGAGTTTAAATCAGGGTTCCGACTGTTGTTTTTTCCTTTATTGTTGTTTGCAATTCAGATGCAGAATTTATCTGTTACCTCCAGTTACTTATTTCATCTACCCTGAACGAGTGCCGCTTATGGCGTTACCTTTCGTATCGGACTTCGTGTGCTCAAGAATAGCTCTTAACTCCATCAGACTGGTGAAGTGTCACCAATTATATCATGGACGATATAGCATTTTTCTTTTTAGATGTTGCAGCATCTTTCGCCTGCAAGCTTTGACGCGAATTGTCAGTGCGTGGGAGTCGAAATTGGTGAGATTACGCTGACCTGCATTGTTGTGCAAATGTGTAGCAGGAACGACCGCACAGAGAAGATGGCCCCAACGCATTACCGAGGCCACCATCGTCCATAGGTGGCTTGGGCGGAGGAGGGTTGTCCGCTGACGAGTTTGCAACCAGGTTTTTTCGCTCGTCTAGATTGGTGGCAACTGCTGTTGTAAACAATGTGGGTAGGGTTGCAAGCAACATTAGATCCACAATAGATAAGATCTTTACATCAGACCAAGGTCGTCCAAAAGCTTGACTCTCCTGCTGCCAGCCATGTGTAAGTAGAATAACTCCACGTTTCTGATCCAGAGTCGACACCTTTGAATACACTCATTAGCTTCTTGCAGACAATCGGGATTAGCGGTCGAATTTGACACTGGCGTCCGGTCAATGCCACGTGAACTCCACTCGCGGTGGCTATCTACATGTAGATCCAGCCTGTGAGTCCTTCGCTATGAGTGACTTTGAAGTGTGAGCAATCAGCAGCATATGTAGTGGAGGCTGATTATTTAAGGGTGGGGTCTACTCTTACGGGCTGATTATTGTAGCCTCTTCTGCAAGTTATTTCTCCATTCTCTAGCAGTTTCTTCTAAACCTACGAGTATCTACTTTGCAGTTTACTTCATGTGATAGACTTTGAGGTTGGTACATGGTCCTCGTTCTCATACCAGCTGGGATGTACCTGCTTGATTCTTCGAGGAGACCTTCTGCTTGAGTTGAGTAAACAGGATGATTGATGCTCAATTGGATTGAAACGCTGCTATGACTATACAATCGGCATTGTATTGTTTCAAGAGTTGTAACATGCTGTACTCTGGAAAGACTTATGAGTTCACTACAGCAGGGGTTGGAGAGTTTTTTAAGTTCCACTGGACAATATCCTTCTTCCAAGTTATACAACTGAATTTTCAGGGAGAATTCATTGGTATCATCTTGAAGAGTCCGGATGAAATCGGTTTTTTTATTCCTGTCTGTGGAGCATATTGGTTATCGATTAGAATCCTCTACTGTTGCATATTTTTTAGATCGAGGATTACGATTCTGCTCTTCTCATGTTTATCAAGAATTACACCGCTAGTTGGCTTTCCAAATGACAAGACCACAGTCCACTTGCAAACCGTTAAATGTAGGGTTTTGGGTTGTTAATTTTAAAGAAATGATAAGGTTAATACCAATCAAATTATTCAGCTCTAGTGGAAGTATAATTAAATGAACCATTGGGAGCACATTTATTCTTTATATGGGTTTTGAAATACATCGAATTATCGAATTATGTGGTATCAAAAAACCACAAAAGCCGTAGTTAAGAGGCATGTTAGAAGTGTGGTATGTTTCTAAGAATTTTATTTGTTAAGAGATATTCTTGAAGGATTTCAAATTATTTATTTATTGAAATCTGAAGTATAAGCATAATTTGTAAATTATATGCTATTATTGTTATTATTCTTTGTATTGCAAATATTACATGTGCCTAAAGTAGAGTGCCTATGGAGTTGGTCTGAAAATTTTGACTACTATACATGGAGTTTGTATGCATTAAGAGAGAGATTTTGTAAAGATAGTTCCAAAAAAAATTAAAAAAGAATTAAGTTAGTTAGAGGTGTTTACAATGTAAATAATGCTTCACATATATACACTTGTATATAATACTTAAATGATTTAGTTTTACTTAAAACAACCAACAAAGTTCTTCTAAGAATAATATTGTTATGTTATACTGTAATTATAATTTTCAAATAAATAGCATTCTTCTAAAGACATTTTAATTTATCTTATAATAGCAGATTCAAAAGCAATTCAATTTTATAAGCAAACTCAAATTTTGATTAAAAAGATACTATTAAAAAGAAGATAATAAAATATGCAATCAATTGTATGATATTCTGCTTTAAGTTATAAATTAATAGATCATGATGTAGGAAGTTAATAAACAAGATTCCAATAACACCATCAAATACAATCCTTGCATATAGCCCATAGAGTGACTTAATACAATGTTACATAGATTGAGTCATGATTATAGTCATAGCCTTAGAAATTATAGTTTCAAAGTAAATATTTGATGAATTCAAAGTAGAATGGAAATAAAAAAGATTAGGAAAAATTAATAGACACTACTAAGTTTTTTATCCTTTTTCAAAAGATAAAAATATAAACCAAAATAACTAATTCTTAGGTTAAAAACTTAACATATAAAACTATTGAAGTCTATAAAAAAAATATATAAAGAAATTCGTTAGGAAAAACCGTAGAATAATTTAAAATAAAACTTGAGGTCAAACTACACTTCATCTACAAGAATTAAAAGATAAAAAATAAAAAACAAAAAAATATTATTTACACAAAATACAAAATATTTCTGAAATTTAATACTTATTATGAAGAACTATTAAAAAATCAACAACAATATTTTTGCCTAATAAAATTATCATTAAATAGGCAAACAAATAGCATTACAATTGATGTTTAACTTAGGTATCAAAATAAAGATTACATTACAAGAATTTTCCATCGCCTTCATTCATAATATTAACCTTGATAAATCTTTGAAATTGTACTTTTATGATTTTATGTAATAGTTGCATAGCTGAAACAACATTGATGTATGCAAAAATTGTAAAAATTTATAATATTAAAAAATTAAATTAAAAAATTAGAATAAAAAAAAACAAACAACCAAATAAATAAAAACAGATAGTTTAAATTACAATTTCCAATTCATAACTATTTTTATTATAAAAGGACAATGTAAATTTGGTGCTTGAAAACAACATATAGAGCAAAGATAAATAAAAAATTGTAGTTGCAAAATGCAACATCAAGCATGAAAATTAATGGTATGTTTTTTTCTAAAACATAGTGATTTTTAAATCACTTATATTACATGTTGATTTAAAACAATAAAGATACAATGATGTTAATAAAAAAATATTTATATCTTTTTATATAATATTTTGTATAATATAACATAATATAAAAGTATAATGTTGCAATAGTTATTGATATTGTAATAACATTCTAAAAACATTATTCAATTTAAAGGAGAAATCAATTAGATATACTATATTATCATCAAGAGTTACTCAATTAAGTAAATTTATTATTCAACTTAACTAAATAAATTTACTTGATGAAGTAATTAATACTTTGTTAGGTGAAATATTATTAATAAAATATGGCTTGGAATAAGAATATTTAATACTAAAAGAACTAAGTACATAATAGATTCTTCTAAGAATCTTTAGAAGGTAAACATCAATAACTTATCTTAGGTATTAATTGTTTATTTTAAATTTTTATTGTTCTTTGATAGAAACTTAGGCTTATACTATAAAGAATAATATAAGAAAGAATTATATTTGTTACTTGTGTATACTAACACAATAAGTTTAAGTTATATATATTAAATTTGATAATATGATAGAATATGGTAGAAATTGTAGAATATTTATTTAGTAGAATTTATAAATCTTATTAGTTCCTTGTAGTTTAAGGTAATTTTTGACTATGCTATTTGAAGGATTTGATTTTGGCATTAGCACCAAATTATCTATTATATAAGATAGCTCAAAAGATAAATGGCTGAGACAAATAGTGGTTCTCATTTGTTGCATGGATCACTCATCGTTTAAGTTTAACTGAACTTAAATACTAGAATTTAATTAAACATGATTAATAGAATGTGTTATGCTAGGGTTTAACTGAACATGGATGGATTTAGCAATGTATTGTTTGTTGCATGCACACAATACTATTAAAGATGAAGTTTGATCCTTGATGGAGAAGAAGGCATATTTGCAATGATTTTGTGTTTTTTTTGAAGTTGCTTTCTGCACTTGCAATAGACATCTATCAAAAGTTTTTATTTTTTTATACCACGGATATTTATGCATTTTATTTGAGCATCTACCAAAGAATTTGTAAATGAGAGTATGGAACAAAGATAAGTTTACAATCTGAATTGAAAAAAAAAGCTTAACAAAACTACAAAGATTAGAAAAAGCATACTCTTCATTTTTTTAAAATCATGTTACCAAGCTTTGTATTGCAAAATAAGTATATTTTTAGATATTTCAAAAAAAATCTAAATTTTTTCTATATTTGCATTACATTAAATTTCAAAATTTTCATTGTGTTTTGCATTGCAAAGTGAATGTATTTCTAAAAAATTTAGAGTTAGTGTATTAAGGTTGAAGAATAGAGATTTTTTTTTTTTTTTTTACTTCTATATCATCAAGAAATAAAATAATTTTTATTAATTTATAATTTTATAGTTTTATATTTATAGTATTTATTTTTATAATTAATTTTTTAAATATTTTTTATAATTTTTACATTATGTTTATTATATTAAATTTTATATTATATCTTTATTATAAAAAATTCTTTAGTAATATAGTTTTATTGGAATTTTAAAAGTATTATCAACTACAATAAGAATTGATGTATAAAAATTTAATTATAAGATTTTTATTTCTTGCTTTTATGTAAATCTTTTTACATTCAAATTTATATATATATATATATATATATATATATATATATATATATATATATATATATATAGATATATATCCATTTTTATATATAAAGCCATAAATATTTTCAATAAATATTATTTAGAAAATAAAGAAGTATATATATTATTTTATTTATTCAATTTGATTTGTAAATTGTAATATTTTGAAACAATTAAGCTTTTTGTTGTAGCAACTTGTTGTAAAAATATGTATAATTCTGATTAATAGGAATACATAGATATAAAATCTTTATTTTTGTCAAAGCATTGTGGTATTATAATTTTACTTATTAAGTTACATATACTTATTTTAATTTTATGGATACTATGTAATCTTACTAAAATACTTAAGTAACAAGGTTTTATTGGAATTTTATGGAGGTAAAATTTTGATGCCTATAAGTTGACTCCAATTGTTTGGTAGAAACCATGCTATTATAAATGGTTCCACTTTAACAATAATTGCAATAAATGGAAGAATAATTTCTCAACAACAATATAAAAAATATGAATGATCGCAAAGAAAAGATGAATTTTTTACAAATAAGAGCAAAAATTTTCATCACAAAACATATGCCTAACAAAGTTGAAGAAATCAAGAGAAAGATCAAAGAGAAGTTGTAATAACAAGCATTAATGCTGTATATAATCTATAGAAGATGCTTGTTTTGTATCTTTATTATAACGCATTGCATTAGGTTGACAAAAGTTTAACTTGGTTGCTAAGTAAATTACAAATTGATAAAGATGGATTATTTTTCTTATCAACTTTTTTTAAGGCCTATTAAATATTCTTCAATTTTGTGCAAAGAAAAGCTATTGTAAGAATTTATAGTTAACAAATAAGTAGCAATTAAGCAATCATGTCTACAATATCTACATTATAATTAAAAAAAATCTATGTGATGATTTGTATTAAGGATTAGTACATGTTATCATAACTCATCTAAGTATTTGGCTTAATAAAAGAAGATATGAATTAAATAATAGAAGATGCAAGATCTTATTTCCATCATCACATATTAAAAATACAAGACATATGATGGAAATACTTCAAGATTCTATAGTAATTATAAAGTTTTATCAACATCCCAATATTTTTATGGCAATGATAGTAAATCCAAGATGATACAAAATCTAAAATAAGCCACTTTAGAAACAACAAACAAGTGATTGGCTTTATTTGATCGTCCATATATTTGAGCTAAAGATACTTGTAATTATAGAAGATATAATATATATATATATATATATATATATATATATATATATATATATATATATATATATATATATATATATATATATATCTTTGA